ATTTTATACATTTTTTCTGTATTGTTTGATTCAATCATCATAGATAGGGAAAAGGAAAAGCAGAAGGTGAATTTTGAGAGTAATTAGTTTTTCCACGTTTGTTCTTCCACGTCTTTATTAATTTTTTTATTACAGTCCTATTTTTATTTAAAAAAAAGAATTATTTTATTTTTATCAAAGAAAAAAGTTTTTACTTTTTATTAATTTTTTTCTAAAAAATATATTAAGTGTCATTTTCTTTTTATTTTATTTTTTTACCTTTTGCTCTTCCTTTCCTTCATTTATGCTGATTGGTTTAAACAATACAGAAAACAATATATAAAATATTTTTAATGGAATAATTGACAAGTAAGATAAATATTAAAAATTACCTAAAGCCATAACTAGTGTAAATAAAGAGCATTTTTAAAATGTTCTGCAGTCGATAGCCGAAAAAACTTTCTCGTACATTTAAAACTCGTTATCCCAAAACCTGTAGAACGTACTACTATTATTTTGATTTCATTAAAAAAATAATTTAAATCTCTACAACTTTTGTTTCAATATTTTTTGTTAAAAAGTAGGTACTTTAATTAATATTTGTAAAAATGTATAAAAAAGCCATGATTTCAGAGGTTTTTAGGCACTAACTTTTTAAAAAAACATTTTTCGACCCATACTTATAGGAAACTTTTTGTTCAGAATGAAATTATAAAATCTTAAAGTCTAATCGGAACATTTGGGTCCACTCCGTATTATGTGTATATATATATATATATATATATATATATATATATATGTGTGTGTGTGTGTATATATATATATATATATATATATATATATATATATATATATATATACATAATACACAGTGTCCCCGTATTATGTGTGTGTGTACATATATATATACACACATAATACGGAGTGCATACTACACACATAATACACTGTGTGTGTGTGTGTGTGTGTGTGTGTATACACACAGGGTGTCCGTCGATTTTCGACCTAAATGAAATAAATAAGTAGATTGGCTCGAATTAAGAAGGAATGACCTGTATTGTTTTGGGATTGTCGCAATAATTAACGAAATATTAAATAAAAAAGATCGGCCAATCTGCGTGAGTAAAAGCGCGCGGCGACGAGAGTCGTTCCACCGTAATCCGATACTACGAGCGCGGCGAAGCGGTGGGCGGGTCGCTCTCCGAGACATGATGGTGGTTTGCGATATATCGCAATACCGCGCCGAAAAATGACCCGCCCTCCTTTTCGTGGCGAGAAAATGATGCGCTATCATTTCCACACCACCTTGCGGTAGATAGCATGGTGCGCTTTTTTTATAGTGGTTTCCCCCATAGGCCTATTCCACTCTCAATTTAAAAATTATTCAAAATGCCATTTACTATACGCTGAATATATCGTAAATGTAAAAAATTAATGGACAGTACCTTTACAAAAATTGATTCGTGGTTGAAAATCTCTCGATAAAATGTATTGCACACGTTGATAATGTGATACGATGATAAAATTCTTCAAGAATCCTTTCTTCATCTCGTACACGAAGACGCACTGCTGGACCAGTTATCCCGATATTATGCACGACACTCAGTTTCACATAATTATTGCACAACACGTAAAATTGTACGTCCACTTGGTTTTCGTGCACGCCCGAGAAATGATTCCATGTAAATTGCGGCCGCACGATAAGTATTTTCTCCCGCTAGTCCGTATGCCACAATCATATCCGTATATTCCTGCAGAGTACACTTCATTTTCTCTGTTAATTTACTACGCAAACACAAGATTTTTATTAAAATATCTTAGCTCTCGCACGCTTTTACCAGATTGCGTACGCCAACAGCACGCAACTACAGCTGAGCGGACATGTGAGTGTAATCATAGTGCGCAGGCGTCAACTCACACGTATGCTTACACTCACATGTCCGCTCAGCTGTCAGCTGTAGTTGCGTGCTGCTGGCGTACGCAGTCTGGTAACAGCGTGCGAGAGCTAAGACGTTTTAATAAAAATCTTGTGCTTGCGTAGTAAATTAACAGAGAAAATGAAGTGTACTCTGCAGGAATATACGGATATGATTGTGGCATACGGACTAGCGGAAGAAAATACTTATCGTGCGGTCGCAATTTACATGGAATCATTTCTCGGGCGTGCACGAAAACCAAGTGGCCGTACAATTTTACGAGTTGTGCAATAATTATGTGAAACTGAGTGTCATGCATAATATCAGGATAACCGGTCCAGCAGTGCGTCTTCGTGTACGAGAAGAAGAAAGGATTCTTGAAGAATTTTATCATCGTATCACATTATCAACGTGTGCAATACATTTTATCGATGGATTTTCAATCACGAATTAATTTTTGCAAAGGTACTGTCCATTAATTTTTTACATTTACGATATATTCAGCGTATAGTAAATGGCATTTTGAATAATTTTTAAATTGAGAGTGGAATAGGCCTATGGTGGAAACCACTATAAAAAAAGCGCACCATGCTATCTACCGCAAGGTGGTGTGGAAATGATAGCGCATCATTTTCTCGCCACGAAAAGGAGGGCGGGTCATTTTTCGGCGCGGTATTGCGATATATCGCAAACCACCATCATGTCTCGGAGAGCGACCCGCCCACCGCTTCGCCGCGCTCGTAGTATCGGATTACGATGGGACGACTCTCGTTGCCGCGCGCTTTTACTCACACAGATTGGCCGATCTTTTTTATTTAATATTTCGTTAATTATTGCGACAATCCCAAAACAATACAGGTCATTCCTTCTTAATTCGAGCCAATCTACTTATTTATTTCATTTAGGTCGAAAATCGACGGACATCCTGTATATACACAGTGTCCCATTTTAAAATCGTGCCTCGATAGTTTTTCAACAAAGCATTTTCAGCAAAAATGTTTCAGACAAAAGTTGTATGGTTTCAAGGGGAACATAAGATAGTATCATCAATTTGACCTTGAATTACTTGAAAATCACGTGAAGGTCACCTTTAATTTTTTAAATGGAACTGCTTATTTTTTTATTACATTCTTGTAGCTTATCTTGAGAGCTTTCCAAAATACTGTAATTAAGTTAATTTTTAGTAAGTACTTTCCGAGTTATGAGGCTTGAAATCATTTCTTAATTTTACATAAACCGTAAAATATTTTGTAAAATATTCATTTTTTGATTATTGCATCTTAATACTTTTATGTACAAAATGATGAGAGAAATCAATTGGTATAAAGAAAACATAATTGTTTCGAAGAAAAAATATGTAATTGTTAATTGCAAATTACATATCTTATGTCTTGTTTAAAACCATATAACTTCTTTCTGAAACATTTTTTTGTATCTCGCATATTTTTCAAAATATTTGCCTGTTGAAGGCTATTCTTCCGAAAACGATCATGCTCCGATTTGAGTCAAATTATGTAAATAGGTTCCTTTCAGATACAAAAGAAATATACGAAAAGGATTTTTGGTGATTCGAAAATTAAGACATTTTTAAAGCCCTTTTTCGTAAAAATGAATATTACCTTTAGACAGCTTGTTTAAAACGATAAATATCTAGAAAGACGGCAACCTCACCAATGACTTTGGCCTTGACATACGTAATCAAGATCATGACCCTGAGTAACCTTCAATAAGTTGGTGAAGTTTTTGGGGAATTTTAATTGGTGAAATTTTATTAATTTCACAAATGTATGTATACACACACACGCGCGCGCGCGCGCGCGGAGAGAGCAAGGGAAGGCCTACTCCTCCCGCAATCACCCCGCCGGTAGAGGCCAAAAATTGTGAAGAGTTCAATCACAATGGATATATGCTGTAAGTTGTAAAGCGAGGTCCACCTTGCCTACCAGCGGGGTGGTTGCAGGAGGGCCGGCTGAAAGTGATGTGGTGCAGACTTCGCTTCGCATGAAAAGTTACAAACCTATGTAGAACCTTACTTAATAATAGACCTCGCTTCGCACTGACTCATGGATGGTATATACAGGGTGAGTCATTTTAAGTGACGGACTAAAATTTCTCGAAAACTATAGGAGATACAGAAAAATGTTTCAGACAAAAGTTGTATGGTTTCAAGGGGGACATAAGATGGTACCATTGGTTTGACCTTGAAGAGTTATTTGAAGGTCACATGAAGGTCACCTTCAATTTCTTAAATGGAACCTACACTTTCTCTTTACATATTCTTGTAGCTTATCTCGAGAGCTTTCCAAAACACTATAATTAAGTACCTTTTCGTTAAGTACTTTTTGAGTTATAAGGCTTGAAATCATTTCTTAATTTTACATAAATCATAAAATATCTTGTAAAATATTCATTTTTCGATTATCTTATATTACTACTTTTATGTACAAAATAATGAGAGGAATCAATTGGTGTAAAGAAAACATACAGTTGTTTTTAAGAAAAAATATGTAATTGTTAATTGCAAATTAACCAAAATACTACCAAAATATCTACAATATAATATAAATATCTACATCTAATATATAATTGTTTTTAAGAAAAAATATGCAATTTGCAATTAACAATTACATATTTTTTTTAAAAACAACTCTACGTTTTCATTACACCAATTGATTCCTGTCATTATTTTGTACATAAAAGTGTTAAGGTGAGGTAATCGAAAAATGAATATTTTACAAGATATTTTACGATTTATGTAAAATTAAGAAATGATTTCAAGCCTCATAATTCGGAAAGTACTTAATGAAAACTAACTTAATTGTAGTGTTTTAGAAAGCTTTCGACGTGAGCTACCAGAATATTCAATAAAAAATAACAAAATCATTTCGAACAAACTGTCTAAAGGTAATATTCATTTTTAGGAAAAAGGGCTTAAAAGTACCTTAATTTTTGAGTCGCCAAAAATCCTTCTCGTATATTTCTTTTGTACTTAAAAGGAACCTATTTACAAAATTTGACTCAGATCGGAGCATAATCGTTTTCGGAAGAACTATAAATTAGTATATTGAAGATTTTAATTTATTTTAATTATTGTCTATTATTTAGGATAAAACAAGAATTTTAGTGACGCATCAATTGCAATATTTACAATTTGCTGATCAGATTATTGTGATGAACAATGGTAGTATTGAGCAAAAAGGTACATTCAATCAACTACAAGCCTTAAATCTTGACTTTATGAAGTTACTAAAGATGACAGATGCGGAATGCAAAGAAGATGAGACCAAACAATTTGATAAACAATGTCAAAATTTAACAAAAAGCAAAAAAGGGGCCAATAAAGCTTCGAATATTGAAACACATGAAATAACAATGAAAGGTCACATGTCTCGCAAAGTGTTCTTTGCTTACTTCAAAGCGAGTAAAAAACCTTTTATAATAGCTCTAATGATGGTAATCTTCATAGTAAACCAAATAGTTGCCAGTGGTAGTGATTATTTTGTTGCATTCTGGGTAAACATCGAATCGAGTTCATGGCACGAAACTAGTAATTCTACCACGGAATTTTTGTGGAATGGTCCGTTGACTCGTGATTACATGAGCTACATATATAGTACAATGATAGCAATCATCATATTACTATGGCAATTCCAAACAATTATATATTTTAGCGTATGCATGTGGTCTTCGATAAATCTACACTCCGCTATGTTTCGCAGTATTTTGCGTACTACTACATATTTCTACAATACGAATCCAGCTGGCCGCATATTAAATAGGTAAATATAGCAAAGATAGTGAGATAAATCTAATGCAGTAGATTAAAAAAAAATAAAACCCAAAAAAGATTAATATACCTAAAACCTTTTTCATTAATTTAATACAATGGTTTATATATATACCGGGTGTTTCAGACCACCCGTACACCCCATTTTAAAGCAAAGGAAGTGGTTATTTTGAAAAATGTTTCAGACAAAAGTTGTTGAAGATAAAGTAATGCATTACATGGGTAAATTTGATTGACCTTGGGTGGCGTCGTGAAGGTCATGTCAAGGTCGACTTGAATTTTTTAAATGGGAACCCCTATTTTTCATTGCATATTCTTGTAGCTTATCTCGAGAGCTTTCCAAAACACTATAATTAAGTACCTTTTTATTAAGTACTTTTTGAGTTATAAGGCTTGAAATAATTTCTTAATTTTACATAAACCATAAAATATCTAGTAAACCATTCATTTTTCGATTATCTTACCTTCATACTTTTATGTACAAAATAATGAGAGGAATCAATTGGTGTAAAGAAAACACATAGTTGTTTCTAAGAAAAAATATGTAATTTGCAATTAACAATTCCATATTTTTTCTTAGAAACAACTATGTGTTTTCTTTACACCAATTGATTCCTCTCATTATTTTGTACATAAAAGTATGAAGGTAAGATAATCGAAAAATGAATTGTTTACTAGATATTTTATGGTTTATATAAAATTAAGAAATTATTTCAAGCCTTATAACTCAAAAAGTACTTAATAAAAAGGTACTTAATTATAGTGTTTTGGAAAGCTCTCGAGATAAGCTACAAGAATATGCAATGAAAAATAGGGGTTCCCATTTAAAAAATTCAAGTCGACCTTGACATGACCTTCACGACGCCACCCAAGGTCAATCAAATTTACCCATGTAATGCATTACTTTATCTTCAACAACTTTTGTCTGAAACATTTTTCAAAATAACCACTTCCTTTGCTTTAAAATGGGGTGTACGGGTGGTCTGAAACACCCGGTATATATATATATATATATATATATATATATAAATATATGATATATATATATATATATATATATATAGAGAGAGAGAGAGAGAGAGAGAGAGTAACGTTGCAGTCTTGAGCATCCACTTGTCCGACTCCCAAGTTCTCGTGAGATAGCGACTGAACGGTCGCGTCAAAAGAAATATAGTGAGAACCACGTCGAAATCCTCGGGAAGGCGAAAATAATTATTGCATTCCTCATAAACTAACTTTTTATTGTTTGTAACTTTTTGATATTGGGAGCGTCACCAGCCTTACCCAGCGGAATAAGCAAAATGAGAAGAATGAATAGGAATCTGGAACGACAGCGAGAGATGACCGCACGGATCAAAAACTCCCGTAAACCGCAGAAAAGGTTTTTGAGATTTTGGAAAATCTCTTTCTGCCAAAATTCAAATTGCCGCGAAAACTATTACGATAAGCATCAGAGAATGCCAGAGGATTCTCGCGCGACGCCATGTATGTAAATGGCACCCGAAAAAGAATCAGGACCTTTATTACATTCTGTTATCCAACCTCGATAGGGAGTGACAAACTCCGAGACTACTTAAAACGGAATATTCCAAGGAAAGAAGTTTTAAGCATAAAGAGCCTCCTGAGTAACAGATCGGAGACGCGTTCGCGATACGATGTTATAATTGACGCGCCGCGACAGTAAATCACGCGAGCGATTGACTACGGTGCGATTAACCACTCGTCAACATAATTCTTGCACGCAAGATCGAATGACTATTGACCCAGGAGCAGAAAATCCCGAAACACACTTGTGCGCGATTAACATGAGCACTCGCCAGTACCATAATTTTTCTTTTATTGAGAATTATTTTTGTATGGATCTGTGAAGGAGGACGAAGAACCGGAAGTTAAGGGGAGCATACTGGTGATACATCATCTCCATTAATTGATTGTAAGTCATGTGCGAACCGGTCCGAGATACGGCCATCTCAGCATTGTCGCCTATTTGATTAGTTTTTGCGTGAATCAAATATTCAAGTATTCAAGAATCAATAATTTGTGATTTTTTCCTTTGATATTTTTTTGGACCAGTATCGAGCGGTCGAGGTTTTCGAGATAGTCGTTACAATGGCAATAGATTAATGGGAAATCTTCCTCTCTCCGAGAGCAAGGAATCGCGAAATGCGTATTAGCTCTCGCATAATGATAAGGGGAGGGCCAGACCTTCAGGACACCGATTTTTTTTTAATTTCACACACATGCAGAGGACAATCTACTGTGCAAGCAGTAAGGCGCACCTTTCAAGCTTTTTCGAGAAAATCGAGAAAGAAGTTTTACGAGATGACTATATACCGTTATTTTGCTACGGTTAGCACGAGTTGCCGGTAGTGCAGTGATAGCAGTCCGAGCTCGTAATCCCGTGATCACTGGTTCGAGTCCCGTTCGATTTTTGTTTTCTTTTTTTTAATCCACATTTTCTTTCAATATTCTGTAATATCTGATAGTAGTTTATATTGAATGATGGAAAATACAATGTAGTTTTTTTATTTTTGCAGTTGTTTTTATTTTATTCAAAAATCAAAATTACCTCTTATACACATATAATGATAAAATACTGTGCTTATACTAATGCTTATATTACTTATGCTTATATTCATCGCTGGAAGTGTTTGGAATAATACATTTCTTTGGATGATATTCGTCATACAAACAAATAAAACATAAATTGTAGCGGCTGCATCTAATAAATGCAGCCTTCTCACACGCACACGAAGTTTTCAATTCTTTCACAGGGAAACAAACTTCATTTACATTAAAGAAAATTTCTTTTTTGTCAGATAATTTCGATGCAAACCATGCGTATTTTAACATATTTGAAAATATCGGCGCAGACAATTGATGATGTATAATTGAATGGATTTTTTGATCGCATCTACACGAGATGAAATTTCTCATCCAATTTCAATCAAATATGAACAATTTTGCAGTCGTTTTATAAAATTTTTAATCTGCCTATAAAAATAAACATCACATGGTTGACAAAGAGGTGTACATATTCCATCATTCAAAACTACTATCAGATATTACAGAATATTGAAAGAAAATGTGGATTAAAAAAAAAATCGAGCGGGACTTGAACCAGTGACCACGGGATTACGAGCTCGGACCGCTACCACTGCGCCACCAGCGACTCATGCTAACCGTACCAAAATAACAATATATAGTCATCTTGTAAAACTTCTTTCTCGATTTTTTCTAAAAAGCTTGAAAGATGCGCCTTACTGCTTGTACAGTAGATTGTCCTAAGGGTCCTCTACATGTGTGTGAAGTTTAAAAAAAATCGATATCCTGAAGGTCCCTTTGCGAGAGTGTAGCGACCGCGAAATCACCATGTGTGCGTTCGATGTCCGCGAAACATGCGTTGTTAGCTCGAGATTACGATATTCTTTTTAATGATATCCGTGCGATAATTGTTGTGCGAAACTGTGCATTATATGATGTGAATATTGGTAGCGAAAATCTAAAAAATGTCAGGACGATATCAAAATTGGATGAAATATAAACAATTCGTTAGCCGCGCTGTCATCGAAGGTCTTTACCTTCGATATATATATGTATATATATATATATATATGTATATATATATATATATATATATATATATATTGCGACGTTTCTTCAATTTAAATTATTCGCCACACTCCTTGAGGTGTTGGAAGGGAGCGTGCGCGGGGGAGCGAAAACGCCGTAAAAAAAAATAGCGAAATTTATATACTCGCGCTCTGAGGAACAGGGATGGAGGGCGTTCTCGCGCGAGCCGCGACGGAGCGGAGGCCGTTTCGATATCTCGATAAGTTGGGCGCCAGATGCGGTCTTTCACGCATCAATTTTCTACGAAACGTCAAAGAACGCGAAAAATGATAGCCTGCTTCGCCACGACTAGTCCGCCTAACGGTAGAGCGGAGGGGTTTTAGAGAAAGCCAATTGATTATGCGGGACTTCACTAATTCAAAATGCGACAGACGCAAAGACGGATATCGACAACCACGAGAGACTAACATTCAAATAAATTACGCGAATTTAACAAAGAAATATAACAAATTTATTAGTAAAGAAATAATATAAAAGTAAAATGTAAAAATAAAATTGAATAACAAATCAGATTGAAAACGACGGTTCACAATAAATTAAAAAAAAAAGAGAAAGCGAAATACACAATCAAATCAATCCTGGCACGAATAATAAGACGTCAAAGCAAATGTTCGCTTGAAATCGACAACTGAAAAGAGAGCGCTAAGGCATTCCGGTTGTTTATCCGAGCCCGTTTTTATGGCCGGAGTTCGCTGAACTGAACGATACTTTTTAGAAGACAAAGGATTTTCGACACGGAAATATTCGCGGATAATATTCACCCAAAACGTATCGTAATTTCGGCAACCAAATCGACGACTTATCGCTACGGACTTTTCCTCACAATTTCCCAGTTCGCAATTCTAAACGACAGCTTAATAGTTCGACAGCATAATTAACCATAAATCGAAAATAATTAATAGTTTTGCGAAGACGGATCTCGTATGCGACAGGCGAGCGATATGTCGATATTCGATAGCCGACGGCGGCCGGAGATTTTTCTCAGCCGGCTTTTCGCCTCTTTCTTCCGCGCGAGCAGCTCAGATTTCACTCTCGGTCGTACTTTTGCGATTATTTCGCACCGCGACACATTCGACAGACGCAAATTATCACTTATTACCCTCTATTCGGCGTCGTAATAAGCGCGACGAAGACACAAATACTCTAACGCACACAATATGATATAATACAATAGACGCTCACACGCACACTTAACAATCGACGACGACATCCACACAATTAGACGCAAGGATCGCCCTGAGATAATTTACGGGAATATTCCACGCGGCAACGACGGCGACACGACAACACGGGCGGCGTACGCTTTTCGCGATCCTTCGCGCACGCGGTCGATATTCGGTGGTCGATAGCTACGCGTAA